TATAAAAAACGGACTGGACCAGCAAGTCAAACCAATTAGACCACTTACTAACCGATTAGATTGCCGACAAATACCTTGGCCAGTACAGTTCAGAGCAATAACTAGGTTTGGTCAAAGACCATTCAAAATCGATGTTTGACTAGGTTTGGCATCATTATGACGACTGGCCTATCGAATTAGTCAGCCTGTTGCCCACAGCCTTGACCGGTTTGGTCCAAAGCAAAAACTACAAAAACTAGGATTGGTCAAAAACAATTGCAAACCAATGTTTGACCAGTAATGGCCGGTTAGACCAGTTGGTCTTGACCAATTGGACCTTGGACGAACTAAACACGGTTGGGAAACTCTTTTGAGCAATATCATCATCATGGCCATTTCCTTACTGAGTGATAATATTTCATATTTTTGAACTACTCTTCTCATTTCTCGTTATTTCTACAATTTTTTCCAACATGTACAATTGTGTGTTAGACCATTTTGACTTGCCCAGACCCTTAAGTGTTTTGGTAGATGGTCAAGTTCTAATAAAACTGAGTTTTGGCCAATCGAACCAGGTAATTTTGATCTTTTGGAAAGACTAAAGAAGTTGATCAACTTTTCTTTCATATTTTTAAACTAGCCTTCCTGTTTTTTTTGACGGGGTTTGGTGCCCAGTCCAGCTCTGATAACACTGCCGAATTAAGTTTTGGGTAACAAAATGCTTGCCAGATTCTTAGTAAGGAACAACCAAGAATAACAAGTAACACTTCAATGCCAAATTGAGTGCCCTAGCAAAATCAGCTATTGTAAAATAATATAGCTAGAGAGGGACTCGGCCCTTGGCCAAGCCAAGTAAACACGAGCGAGTCTGAGCACACTCACCCTAGTCATGTATGAGTTCAAAAACGGAAAAAAAATACAAAACAAAATATAAAAATTTTATTAAAAATAAAAACAATCAATAAAATGAGAAAGGACTCAAGGATTTATAAACAACATTAAAAGTCTATAAAAGATGGAAAAAGGTATATAGAGGATGGAAGAAGGAAAAAAAAGATTTATAGCTTGAAACAGTTCAAAAAAATTCCAAAAAAGGGAAAAATAGAAAAAAAGAGCAGATAATAAGAAAAATTTAAAGAGTAGACGAATAGAGCATATAATAACAAAAATTCATAAATCCTCATAAAAAACTTAGAAATTATGTAGAAACATATTTATACATCATTTATCAGTTAACAAAATGTATACTTTTTCTAAAAAAAAATTAACATACACAAGTTTTTACCTTGAACCTCGATAGGGCCGAGGCCGAGTCCTAGTCGACTTGGCAGTGTTTTTTCTGAACTCTAATTTATATAGACAATTGAATCTGCTTTAGTGCCCATTTCCCTCTAGAAAATAAACATAATTTGGGCACTGAATGTGGAATAATGATTAGCATTGCAACAACCTCTATATTGCATCTCACCACGTGCAGAAAATTTATTTGTTCACGATACTTACTTTACCTTGAAAAAATGTTCTTCAAGCCACTAAAACAAAGTCAACTAACGCATATAACCTCAAATGAGATAAAATACTTAGATCGCAATCAAATTAATATAAATACATGAAATAGCTCCCCCAATTCCCAGTAAAGATAAGGGAAAAAAACGTAAAACCCCTTCTCTAAAATTATAATCTCAAATAACCTTCTGGTCCTATAAATATCCTATGGAACCCCCAAGGTAAACAAAAAAAAATGTTTAGCCCCGTCTTTACCTTTTCCATTGTCCAAATTATAGATTTTACCCTTATGTTTTCTTAATCACCATATTATCTAAATCTTTAAAAGCTCTCTTTCTCTTTCTTCCTCACCTGTGGACCTTTTCTATCTCTAGCAACCTTCCTTGAATACTTATCTCTTCACTCCCATCTCGTGAACCTCACAAGTAAGTTAAAAGAAGCATCAGAAACTCGATTTTTATGATGAGGTTATTAAAAAAAATAAGAAGAGTAACTCCTGTAATTAGGATAATGAAAAAGACAAGGAGGGGGTTAAACATCCTTTTTGTTAAACTTGGGGGGTTCCATAGCTTTTCGTGGGATCAGGGCGTTATTTGAGATAATAATTTTATATAGGGGGCCATACGCCTTTTTTCTTAAAAAATAAACCTAGTGCCAATTTTGGACATGGCAAATTTAAGGAGAATTATATAGATAGCACATTTCCATCACAAAATACAACATATCTGAGAAAAGATATTTATCATAAAACACTAGAAACATATTCAAGAACAACATTGGTGCCTCTCAAACAGAACAACCTTGGCTGCTCAATATGCTTTGGAAAGAGAACATTTTCCTTTTCTTTTTTTGGTAGACGGATCACTAAAACACATTCCAAAGAACATATTTGTATGAGTTAGTCAGTCATTTCATGCATTCATTTCATAGTGTTCTATAATTCATGTCATTCCGAAAATGTGTTTATTTTTTGACACTTGATACCCTTAACCCACGATGTAAACTTTTTTGTCTATGGGTATTGTAGGTTTTTTTTTTTTTTGATAAAGTATTGTAAGTAATTAATCAAGGGTAATGTAGATTTTCTTGATAGAAAGAAAAGCATTTATTAATTATAGTGGAGAATGACATCACCCACATGAAGTGTGTGTTGTGATATCAGCCACATGGAGCATTAATTACTTTTTAACCACTAATAGAATGAAAACATAGAAATGTATCCCTCTTAATGACGAAAAATGCCCTTGCTCGAAAAATTTTGTATTACAAACCAAGGATAATGAGTGTCCAATAAATGTTGAGTACATTAAAGAAATACTCCATGTGTAGGACTATAGCAAAACCCCATTCCTAATTTGTTCCAGAGGCAATCATATCCACTTATATCATCTATATGACTACATGATAATGAGTGACGTTTAAATGGCTCACAAGGTTTTCCATAGATTTCATATTTTTATCATTGATCCACAGGCTCCCAATCAAAAGCATGATGAGTGGGAGGGAAATAATTAGTTACCTAGCAAGTTAACCCTCGGAATACGAGATATAAAGTTTTTTTGTTTCCAAAAAGTGTAGAAAGAGATTCAGAATAATGTAAATCAGCATTAATAACAAAGAAATAACGTTGCAAAGACATATGAGCTTCACCAACAAATTAATGGGGCCTTAATAGGGATTGGGAGGAGTTAAGCCCCCATCAACATATCCCCTCTCATTGTTGTGAGGACGCAAAAGAAGAGGAACTTCAAAACATATATAAGAAGTTCAGAAATTTGAACTTCTTGCTGGCCTTAACCTTAAAAACTATTTAAGAGATCAAATCTCACGTAGGCGGACTCATTTCCCTCTCATTTGTATAAAGAGCCTTCTCCACCAAGAAGAACGTAAATGTGATCCAATGCAACATCCCTAGCTGCTGCAAGTCATGCTGCCCTTATTTCTAGAACTAAAGCACCTGGTCTCTACAAGAGAGGACATCAAAGAAGTTGAGAAAGAGGCTTAGGTGAACGCCTCAAGGTACTGCAAGAAGTCAATTTCATGAATAAAAACTCATTCCCTATTTGGAGAAACTCGTTGAGTCAACTCAGCTCATCGAGTGTGAAAGTTTTTGAATATGAATAACTTGAGATTTTCAATATGAAAAACTCGCAAGTTTTTCTAATAGAAGTCATTCAAACTACTCTTTATTGATAAAGGAAAGAAGATAGCACTAACCATATGGTTTACATCAACAATAATTGATTAAATATACTAGAACTCAAGAAACCTTCAAACTCAATGTTTGATATTAAGGACCAATGAATATTGAGGTAGTTTCTTAACCTAGAGGATGCTCATTCAAAAAGAGGCATCTTCATTTTCTCAAATGAAAGCACTATGACCTTGCTGAAGAAAATTAGAAAATTAGAATCAAGACCAATGTATACTCCTATGAGGCAGGATTAGTGCTGTAAGCAGGATCAAGGTCAAAAGTTGAACCTTGCAGAATCAATGCATAAATCAGAGAGGAGAAGCTCTTTTATATAACCATCACAATAACAGATCTTGAATATTTTGAAGGAGTTTGCAGCCAATTCATGTATGCACCCCAAAAGCCTCTTTAAATGTGGTTAATGGGATCTTAAGGTATCTAAAGTCATCTCTATGAGAGCATCATCTTCATACATCAGCCATTTTTTATACAAATTGAGCTAGTTCCCCATTGTCAAACTAGTACTGGGGTATACATTTTCTCAATTGGAATATTGCAGTCATTGCTTTTCTAGTTTAAACATTAGTTGTAACGTCTACAATAAAGCCAAATATAGAGCTATGGTACATGGTTCATGCAAATATATAGTTGAACACCTTAGCAACAAAGATCACTATAAGGTGCACCACTGCACCTTATAATGGATATGTTCGATGATAATAAAGTAACCATACATAATGCTCCCAATCTTGTATCCCATGAAAGAAACAAACACAATGAAGTAGATTTCCACTTCAATAAGAAGAAAATAACATCTATGGAAATTTAAATGTCCTTTGCCAAATCTGAAGATCAATGAATAAGATGTGCACCATTTCAAGGATACTAGGGATGGTAGTGATATAAGAAACAACTTGAGGGGGAAGTGTTATAACATATTTCTCCTAGGTCGTTCAGTCACTTCATAGTATCATTTCATTGTTGTGGTTCCTAATTTACTCAAGGGATAATTATGTTCAATGATGTAATGTACAATTATCGACATAGTGAAACAAACCACAGGACTATTTTTTCTTACCTAAAAAACCCAATAATTTCATAATTAAAACATCAAAGAAGTTTTTTTTTTTTTTTGAGAATGAACATCAAAGAAGTTGACGTGTGCATCTTTCTTTTATATGTATGCATTTGCTTATATGCTAATCCAGTTTTAGCTACTACAATCATAATCATCGCCGTCAAAGGTCGGCTACACTAATCTTGATTCTAGCTACTACAGTGTTCCGTGCATAAGGCACATTAAAAAGAATAAGCGGCTAACCTTTAGACAATCAGGAGATGAATAATCTAAGTAATCCTTCAAGGTCTCATCATCATTTGCGAGTGCATCTCCATTAGTAAAAACGAGGATCATGTATTTCGCAATTTTCTCTCCAAATAAAGTTCGCAAGCTTTTGATGGCAAGAGCTTCTTCTTCAGTAAACCGATTTGTTACAGAAAGAATTACTAGAACTGCATGGATCCCATCCTTAGCTAATGTAATGCATCTCACTATCTCCTCCCCGATAAAGGCCATTGTGGCACTTGGATCAAATAATCCTGCAAACCATAACCTAATTAGAAAGTTCCTCTAGAATAAGCAAATAAAGCAAAGCATTCAAATAACACATCTAGCACTTAAGCCATTTATAGAACTAAAATCACTAATTCTATTTGGATAATCCATCACACAGCATGCAAAGAAGTTTGCATCAGTTTTTTTTAGCAAATCAAATAAGTCATATTGGAAACTGAAAGTTACACAATAACTCATGGTAAATCAGCTTGTCTTCTAAAAAAGTAAGCTGCACCATGGAAGTTGGTGAAAATATGGTTCAAACAATCATTAAATATAACTGCCACATAGATTGATATACACAGTTTTCAGAAATAGGAGAAAAAAAAACCAATGTTATGTCTATCATAAATCCCACATGTCATCATCATCATCATCCAACCTTATCCCAATTATTTGGGGTTGGTTACATGACTCTAGTTCCTCCATTCGTCTTTATCAAGGACCATACCATCAATAAGACCAAAAGTCACCATATCTTTTCTTTCTACTTATTCATGTCCTTTTGGGCCTTTCTCTTGCCCTTTTAGATCCATCCACTTGAACCAAATCACACATCCTAACCGGTGTTGGATTAGGTCTACGCTACACATGGTCAGCCCACCTAACTCTACTTTACCTCATATTATCACCTATTGAAGCTACCCACATGTATGCTACCCATTATATCCGTTATACAGCAATTATATCTATTATTTCTTAAATACTACATATTATAAAGTTCTACCAGACAATCTTAAATACTACATATTATAGAGTTATATTAGACAAAACTAATCATTATTTATTTTCCCATTTCATATCTGCTATAATGGCCACCATCATTAGATATTGATTCCAGCCGCTACCTGACACAATAGCACAATATACATTACATCAGATGGAAGGTTGAGATAGGCCCATTAGCACTCCTGTCATGTTACGGAACACTGACTACAAATATCTTTTCCCCATATTTAACATCTCCAATGCAACAATCCATTCTTGATTCCTTAAAGTGGTGCCCATTGTCCCTAATCACTTCATGTTCTGGTTTCTTTCTAGGGTTGGATTCAATACATCTAGTGCATCTTCCCACATTGTCCTTAGAAGAACAGAGATTACTGACTGAAATTCATAACACTATTATTTCAACAAATATACGTCTACTCTTATTTATGCTTTAATCAAGCCATCATACTCACTAAAATGCCTAATTATATATTTTTGCATTATTTTTCTTTTTGCAGATCTGCAAATCATGTACAAGTCACTAACTCATGTACATGTGTACATTGCATACGCGAGTGATCATAAGTGTGAATGTAAAAATACATTGTCAATTTTCATGCAATGCATGAGCTATTCAATGATATCAAAATTTAGAATATCTAAATCTTATTAAAAAATTATTTCCTGATACTCTTATTTATCGATTTTTGCCCCTTAAAAATTCTCGTATATGTAATATACTCAAATAGTTTTTTGAAATTACATAATTTTCCTTTAAATTTATGTTGTGAATTATTGACCGTATTGAATCTTCATTTTAAAAAATCACATTACTTCCAAATTTTCATTGAGATTTCCCCTATCCACAAGTCCCCTCTCTGTTATTCCTCAAATTTCTCTCTCTCTCAAATCTTCAAGAAATCTCTTTTTTTATCAATATCACTTCCTTATCTCTTTCCCTCCCAACTCATGCATGGCCTGAATTGCATTTGCATGCTAAACTATAATATATGTATTTACATACAAACATATGTATGTGCAAATATGCAAGTGTGTTTCTCATCTGGCTTAGTCTTGCTTTATTTACAAAACTTGTCACAAGAATACAGATTAGTACATGAGTTCTTAAACAACGGAATCACATGATATATTTTGTTTTATGACATTAATTACAATACACTACTTTGGATGACTTAGGCATCTTCCAAATTGTGAGAAAATACATGTACTCCAGCGAAACAGCTTTGCTCTATCCTTCTATAGTAAAAGTCGTGATTTCCATAAATTGGACAAGTGACTCAGTAGAAATCTGGATCAAACTTATCCACAACTCATTCTTTCTCTCCAAAGGAAAATATGCTTGCAAACAATTAGTTAAAATGAGAGTTATCAAGAAAAAATAATTAGTATACACGAGTTCCTTGTCAAAACCCTTAAGCATATCAAATATAATTCTTATCCGCAAATCATAAATCTGTGATAGACAAAGTTATATGGCCATATCCAAGCAAAGGCCAAATAAGTCTATGCGATTCTCTATGTGATTATTCATATGATATACCACCATACCCTATGCCTTCCCTTTGTTTTAGTAAGAGAATCAAGTGCATCATCAACGGCTAGATATTCAAATAGAAAACAATGTATATGTATTATTCATATGATCAATTTAGCAAGAGAATGATATGCATCATAAACAGATTGAAAATCAACCTTATGTCTCATCTTTCATGCAATAAGATTAAATAATTTCATGTAATAATGTTGTATAATACAACAGATGATAAATTCAATTTCCTTGCAGCTTCTATCTATAATAAATTCTGCAGCTGAATTACCCAACCCAATTATACTCAGTTATTGTACATATGATACAATTTACAGCGATAGATCAATCTTAACTTTGGCCAAGCAAGAAAATGACGTGCACCATAAATGGATGGAAAGTCAACCTTACATTCATGCAATAAAATTAAATGATTTCTTGTAAAAATGCCATATCATACGATAAAAGATACACTAGATTTCCAAGTTTGCAACTTCTATCTATAATAAATGTTGCAGCTAACTAACCCTCAGTTATGCTTAACCATGTGATTCTACTCACCCCAAAGAATCGATAACTGTTTCTTCAGGAATCAAATGTAGACTAACATAACCTAGTATCATAAATTAAGTAATTGACCTACCAGGAGTATCAATGACATTCACAATGCGACCGTCCCTTAAAATGGTCGATTGCATTTCACATTTACTTGTCACTGCACAAGATCGAGATTGGGACTTGAAAACTTTGCGGCCAAGTATGCTATTCCCTGTTGCACTTTTCCCATTTCCAGTTTTCCCAACCAACACCACAGTGCTGTTGGCATTTGAACTAGCTGTTAATTCCCAATCATCCACCATTGTGCTCCCTCCCATTGCGCCTACTCCAAAAAATCTGCAACAAAAGATACCTGTCCATGTTAAAATAAATAAAACAATCAAGCATACACAAAATGCATAATCACATCTCAAATACAATAAGTAGTAAAAAAAAAAAAAAGGCATTAAAATGGACCAAAACGTCGACCAAATGCATAGGATACAAAACAACATAGCAGATGCAAAACACTAACATCCATCGCATGGTCTACAATAATAGTTCAACCTACCATAATACCAAGGTATTAGTCAATACCTTGTTTTCATGGTATCAGGATGCTCAATGAGCTTGTAGCTGATGTAACATGGTATCCATAATTGACCAATCAAACAACAATTATATATGGATTAGTGGACACACTCCAGGGAGCAAAATTTGAATCTGGACTCCAGAATATTAGAACTGCTCACAAAAAATCCATCTACATAATAATCCATTTAAAATATGGTCAAGGTTCAAAAAAATGTATAAGCATATTGAAGCGAGCCGATACCGATATATAATGGTATCAACCAATCAACCATTATTTGCAATAAATGGGCATTACTTTCAAACTTACGAATATCCTCATGTTTAGAACAAAATGAAAAGATTATTTTGTCTCCATATTTTGAAACCCAAAATTGGCTTCCACAGCATTATATATCAGCCAATATATTTTGAAAATGTTGCAAAAATTGATCATATGCCTAGTACCCATAGCATAAAAAATATGAAAGGATGTCTTTTTTTAAGTTTTGAAACCCAACAGGCTAAGCCATAGCCTGTACAATGTCTGATACATGCATTTGATGATGGATTTTTACGCTTGACGTGATTATAATGCATGATGAAAATTTTAAGGATAATTAGTTTTAATCAACTCATAAGGGATCGAATGACCAGTAAAGCAAATCAAAACAGGGTAAGGTCTCCAAGATAATGAAATCAACACCTTTTAGCTATTCAAATAAAATCATTGTCTTCCACTCACTAAACCCACTTAATACAAGAAAATATAAGAAGCCCATAATGAAAATCTTCTAAATAAGAATCCAACTAATACAAGAAAATATGTGAGGTTCATATTGGAATCTACAAAATACACAGTCCATTTGTCTGATGGTTATGCTTTGTAGTGGTAGCCTATCAAAGCAATGTTTTAAAACTAGACATAAAATTGGAAAAGTTAAGATTAATCCAGTCAGAGCAGCCAATTAGCAAGGTCAAACTGGGTTCCAAAATAAATAATTTTTCCTACTATATCAAATATCTATACATATAAACATATGAAATATCTATACATATAAACACTACTATGTATACAAAACAAATGGAGCTGAAACATTACTCTCTAGTGGGACTAACGTAGCTATCAAACCATAAAATATGTAGGGGAGGGCTACAAGTTGACTTCAAATGGAGCTGGGACACCATTCTCTAACAGGACTAGTGTAGAAATCAATCATAAAATCAATAGGGCATGGTAATAAGTCAACTCCAACCCTTCTAAATTATATTTCCACATGACAGATTTTTTTTAAAATAAAAAAAACAAATATTAAGCAACCCCAAATAGTTGGGAAAGGGCTATGATGATGATGATGATGATGATAATGATGAAAAAGAACCAAATATCTAGTCTAAGAGGGTAGAAAACATTAGTCCAAACATGTGCTTGCAAGTGCGAGGATCAATACAAATTGATCAAACAGCAACTTGAATCAAAAGGATCCAAATATGTCTTTAAGGTGCATGTCTCAGCATCTGATCAAGTGCCAGATACTTTTTCCTAGGTAAAGAAACCACTAAAACTTGACATTAAATTCATTTTCAATTTCAAGTCTTCAATTTCAAATGAAGACTTGAAAATGCCTTCCCCCCACTGACTTACCCAAAAAACAAAAAATAATCCCAATTCCCAAATACAACCATAGATCTATAGGTTTAAGGTTTGCAAGTTTAAGGTTTGGATTGTATTATCCTACCAAGCTCAAATTAAAACCTACACATAATTCACTTAAGATGCCAGACTAATCTCAATTGGATTTCTTCCCAGTGTGTCTGGCATCAGCATCACCACTGCTAATTAGTAAAAATATGGGTCTAAGATTCAAAAATGCTTGGAACCCTTGAAATTCACAACTACCATTCAAGTCTATCCTTTCGAATTGAAAAGAGGAAATTTTAACCTGCTTCCATAAAACACAAATAACATAATGAGTTAATCAATGAAAAACCCACTAGCCTGACAAAGAAAATAACCCACAAGCAATAAAAAAGATGAAAAAAATATTTTCTTTATCAGTGAAAAGAATTAAATTGATAGCAATGCAGTTTAATTTAAATTATATATAACATTTCAATTAAACTAAATTACTCAATGGACTAAAGATTATTGTGCAAGACTTACTATCCATATGAAAACAAAAAAAGCACACAAAAGAACAATCAAAATCCAAATTAAATGCAAAAAATAAATCCATGATCTAGAAAAGAGTGAGTTTACAATCAAAATACGCCATATAATAACAAGCTAAAACAAACACGCCCTTTTACTTAACACAGAAGAAAGGGACCACGATTTTCCTATGAGTGAATCAGATATGCAAAAATAATTGAATAAAGTTTGTAATTTTCAGGCGGAAATTGTGAAACAAAAAACTTTATGTACAGATGCAAAAATTAGTAAAGAAATTTTATAATTCAAGAAGAACTTATAATTCTTGACCTAAAACTATGAAATAAAATATAAGTAATTCCTTGGAGGAATTTGGTTAGAGAAATGGAGAACTCATACTTACAGAAACGGATTCCAAGATGAAGAAAAAACGTAGAGAGAGAGCAATGGAGAGAGAGAAAGAGATAATTCTTATATAAAAGTCGATAAAGAAGAAAGATAGGCAAGATACCCTTGCTCGACGGCGAAGCTATTTGCACTTCAAAATTTAATGTTACGGCATTAGTACTTAATCACAATCTAGATCATAAAGCGTAGAAAAAAATAAAAAGTTTATATGGAGGCTCTAAACAATCAAGTTAGAACCCATCTCAAAAATTTCATTAGAATAGGCTATTTTGATGCTCAAATTTCCTCAAATTGATCATCTTGGCATCTAGATGCATGAAAATGAGAAAAAAATGGATTTCGTGTTTTGGAAATAGTACATTTTGTAATGCATTTTTTTACCGTCAATTTTCAAGATTTTCAAGTTTTTATAGGTATGCTCGATCTGCACTATTTTTTAAACTTTAAATTTTATAATTAAAGATGAAAATGTATTTTAAAGTTATCACAGAAATTTCCAATCTTGAAATTACCCTTCTCAATACTATTTGAAGGTGTGCTTTACTTTGATTGTTTAGAACCTCGGCTCTATACAAATCGCACCCTTTATTTTTTTATTAGCTTAGATATAATTATTATTTTTATATATAAGTTTAAAAAATGGGGCAAGATTTTTATACTGTCCTTACTATATATAAATTATATACTTTTCCCTATCCAGCCATCCGATCTTAATGAATGGATGAGATAGACTCAATTACGATGTCTTTGTATTGTTTTTTTTTTTCTATAAAAAATTTGACACCAAATTTTGGACCGCTCCTCTCTTAAACTTGCACCTACAAAACATATAAAACACACAAATATTTTATTTTATCGAGAATATTTTTTATATATTTTTTAGGTGTGCCCTGTTGACATGACGGCACATATTCAATCTCATATTCATATGATTTCTACAAAAACAATTAAATATAAAATACTTTGAGATGTCACATCTAGATCAAAGTGCCAGTAGCTCACTTTATCTAAATTGAATTTCTCGATATAGGGGAAAATATATACAATAGGGAAACTAGAAAAAGACTTTCCTACTACTATTTTGCAAAGCTTGTCTAGAATAAATTTTTTATTTGCATTGCGCCGGAGAGGACCCCTAAATCAAGTTCTCAAAGGAAGTTTATTTGCAATGCGTGGGAGAGGGCCACTAAATCAAGTTCTAATTTAGGCGAAGGAAGTATGATCATTTTATTAATGATTGAGACTTAATCTGAGGATATTTTGTCTTATATTCCCACATACATAATTTCCCTTTATATATGAACAAATTTTCTTATCTACCAATCTATTGTCAGAATCGGGCGAGTTGTTAATGTGGGTATTTCTAACTGGGATCCGCAACGTAAATTACGGCTATGAAACAAGTAGTTGAGAACTCAAAATTAGATCAAGGTCAATTTGTAAAGTTGTGGGTATTTCTGTTTGTAGAACTCGGATCCGCAATACAAGTTACGGCTATGAAACAAGTAGTTGACAAATCAAACTTGGATCAAGCTCAATTTGCAAAGTTAGAAGCCCTTGCGCAATTTACTTTTTGGTCTCAATGAAGCTATTCGTAATCAATTGACAAGGGGTTAATGAATTCAGAAGTGCGTACAATCAGAAATTTTTGTTCAATCAAGTACTATTCCTATTTAATTGGTTCGGCTACGGGAATCCAACCAAGTACTTATTTGAACAAACAAGCCAATTCCAATAAATCATTATCATCTATCCACATATTCACTTATTTAAGTAGAAGCCATTTTGAAATAAGCTATTCAACAAGCCAAAAGATCGTGAGTATGTTGTCCATCTAATCTCTCAAGTAAAACCCCACCTAAAGATTATTTCTAGGGCTCATTTAATCTCTCAAGTAAAAACCAAGATTAGTTCTAGGCCCCATAAGGATATAACCCACTTTTGGAAAAACGTGCCAATCTAACCCGTAACCGTCCGATTAGATGACTGGCCGGTTCTGGTTTTGGACGGTTTGGGTGATCTACCGATATTTTTAAAAAATTTCAAAAAAATGTATATAAATTCCTAAAAATAAATAAATTTGTTTGTAATAAATTTTTTAATATTATTTACATTATAGTAAAAATTTAAAATTATTTTGATCATTAGTACTCACTTTTATATTTTCCAAGCTTTTTAAAAAAAAATTAAAATTATCCTTCGACACAAATCGATTTTTTAAATTCATTTTTCTTATTAATTTTCAACTTCATTTGAATGTGTTTTATTTTAATCGTTCATTCCATATTTTAGTAGATTGTTTTTTTGTATCTTTTTTATTTTTTTTAACACTTTTTTCACTGCCCAAAATTTATCTGATTAGAACAGTTGAATCAACTGGTTTACTGGTTAGGCCGGTTAAACCGCTTCTGGGCCCATGTCCAGTTAACTATTCTGGTTCGATTTTACAAACACTGATATAAGCTCTTTAATACATAGATTAACCTCAATTAAAAAAAAAACATAATTGCACCTTCTAATCGCTTCAAAAAATAACGTCTCAAGATTGAATAAAAACCATCTAATTTTTAGAGGGTGAGATCTAAATGTTGAAAAACTCAAATTTCTTTTTTTTTTTTTAGAATAACCATTAGTGATTCGTTGCCAAAATTTTAGATGGAAAAAACCTGCCCAAGTTGTTCATTCAGAGGAAGTAGAAATCAATTATGCTCCAGAGAGAGCGTGGTATACTTGTGGATAGAACTGCAATAGTTTTTTTTAATAATGAGCTTGTTACTTCAATATTATTTTTTATTCTCTCAAAATTATACTTTTTATCTTGGATGATGAGTTTAAATCACATGATAATTATTAAACTTTTAACGGAAAAAAACAAAATAAACTTCATTTTTAAGAGAAAAATTACACGACATTTTTTCACTTATATTTTACCCAAAAATTACGATGACCCACCAGTGGGCTTTTTTTTCTTGGAATATTTTTAATTATAAATTAATAATTTTCATATTAAAATTCTAATTTTATGAAAATATAACTCAAAATTATGAATAATTAAAATTAAAAAAATATTCATACATTTGTTAGTTTTAAGTATTGTGTAATTAACCGGATTAAAATGTTGGGCTATTTTTAGATTGAGAATATGATATTCATTTTTTCAAATTTTTCAAATATTATTGGAATCTTTTAAATTTAAAATATTAAATATTATAATATTAACTAATATTAAACAAAAAAAAATTCACTTAAAATCAATATAACTATTTAGTATCTTCCAATGCTTTAACATATTTTATCTTCCAATCTATCACCGATATTTATTTGCTAAACAAATTTATCTTTAGCTTTTAGTTCTTTTAGTTTTTGAAAGTGAGCCTCACAAAATAGATGGAATTTATATAGAGGCTTATAGTAAAAATAAAAAATAAAAAAAATAAAAACTAAAACTTATCACAAGAGTATGTTATTCCATGTTATATTAAAAGTATGTGATTCCAAATTAAAAATCAAATGCACACAAAAAGTTTATTAAAAGCATGTGATTCCAAAAGTTTATTAAAAGCATGTGATTCCAAATTAAGAATCAAATGCACGCAAAAAGTTTGACAAGTTCATAGGCCCCATACCACTTAAATTTAAGTGAGATTGTTATTTGCATCACATTTTACTAAGGTAAATATTTGAACATCCGAAAATAAAGATGATTTTTCTAATTTTTTGATATGGAAATTAAGGAATCAATAAATATGTTATAACATAATTTTTTATTACTAAAAATAGATTTAAGTTGTGATTTGGATTCCAATAATTCAAATCTATTTGTTTTCAATAAAATCTTAATTATAGATTGTTAATATTCAAATTAAGGGTTTTTTCTAGTTCCAATATAAACATTTAAAATAAAAAATATTTTTATTATTAATTCATTAAAAAGTATATCATATGAATTAAAAAAAAAATGCCTTTATTTCATAAAAACTAATATCAGATTAATGTATGGTTTAATATTATTTATGGGTTCCTTGATTTCATGTTAGATTTTTAAAAATAAATTTAAATTTTAAAAAAAGTTTTTAAACCCAATATTAAGCGAACCTCCCTATCTCCAATGTGGCCAAAGATCCTCCCTCTAATGCACAGTTCTCTAATGTACAGTTCAGTGCCGTTGTGACAGAGTTCCAGGCTGCATTGGCGTTCGTTTCTGTGTAGGACTCTCAATTATCTTAATGGCTTCCTCTCCCCCCAAAAAAGGCAAAAACAAAACCTCTCTGCGTGTGTACTCCGAACTTTTCTACTACCTGTACCCAATATTTTATTAATATAATGTAAATTACTTTATTTTTGTTTGCTTCTATGTATAAACCATCTCATGATTTTTTTAAAACAAAATAAGTACTCCGGATTAAAATAAATTTTATAAACTATTTTCTATTATAAATATACATGTAAAGCCCATATATTTTACCACATACACTAAAATATCAATTCTACCCCCCCCCCCCCCCAAATTTTCAATGATCTAGCGCACCTTTATTTTACATTTTTAATGATGCAACCTTGTATAAACTTTTTATTTATTTTTAAGATGGATATCCACCCAACTATAGAATACTAATAAAGTATAGATCATCATCATGGTCAAAAAAACAATTTCCCTAATTGAGGCCACACATATCCTAATCGGTAACACAACACACATATAGAAGGCCAAGACTTTTTCAAGACTTCAAAAAAAAAAAACAATTTCACTTTGAAACTGAAAATCTCTATTTTGACTATAAAATCAATTTCCAACCATATATGCACGCAAAATAACAATCAACAATAAAACATGAAAATACAAGGCAAATATATGCACGATAATACGCACGTACACACATTTACAGGGCCGTAGCTCTTTGCAAAAACTTAGCAACATTCATTTGCAGAAAATACAGAAGAGAACAAGTGTATAGATCTTCTACAAGGCTGCAATCCTCTGTTTGTTTTGTTTAGACGAAAACTCTCGTAATTCCAGTAGCGGAAGGAGATGGAAGACATTCGGTCTCTCTCAATTTGAACTTCAAACCCTTGCCGCTTGACCAGCCATTTGCAAGAGGGTGGATGCCATGGTCAGGGCCTTTCATGTATTCCCTCTTCTTCCTTTCCTCCTCTAAGTTGATTCCGAAACGCTTCTCCGCCTCTGCAATTTTTTCAACCCATTACTAGCAATAATGCTAAAAAAGAAAGAAAAACAACGCGCAAAGATAGAGACAATTCCGTGCGTTTAAAAAATTCAAAAAGCTAAAAACAAACGCAAAAAATAAGCTGTTCTAAAATTTTTACTTCATTGGGATGTTTTGGGGAAAAATTGGTGAGTACCTTATTCTTCTTTTTTTTCCTTTTTTTTTTTTTTTTATCATCATTAACCACATTTTTATATTTTTCTTTTTTATTTTTTGAAAAATATTCGTGAACTAGATTCTTTTTAATCCATGTTTTCCTCCTTAACCATGTTGCAACTTTTAAAGATGCATTAAATTAGAACATCCTTTTAATACATCTTTTTTACTTCTTAAAATTTTCTTAAATCTTTATTATATTTTCTAAGGCCCTTTGTCAGTGTCTCAAAGAGAAGGTCAAGTAACTCGTCTTAGCCTAAGTCCCGTAGCAAGGGGAGTTTTTTCTAGCCATGTACCAGCTGAATCCACTTGGATTGGCCAAGTTACTCAGCCCTGAGCCGAGCCCGATACCAGCCCGGGACCGGGCCTGGCCTGGCCGGAAAAAATACATACCATGGATAAGGAGATGCACAAAAGGATAGCATGGGGAGGGATGGGTCAAGTATCGACCTCGAGCGAGCTGGGTGTCAAGCTGGCCATCAGTAGTGAGAGCATACATAAGGCTAGGTGGGCCGAGCGGGAGCGAGTCGCCCTTATCAATCTGCCAAAAGTGGATGGCTTTGCCATACGACTTGCAAAGTTTCTCCATTTCTCGGTGCTGGAGGGGGCCGGGAACCCCGGGCATGAAGAGTGTGCCACTCTTCACCTCGTACTCATGCGAATGCCACAGCTTCTTCTCCTGGTCAGGAAGTGTCAAGAACAGGCTCTCGGAAATTATGTACTCCACGCCAATCAGTCGAGCATCCGCATCAGGGCTGTCGTATATGAGACACTGCCTCATATCCTCACTTGGGTGGGAGCAGTAGTGGTGGGCTTGTACCTGTCGGGCCATGTTGTCTCCATAGAAGTGGAACCTACGCTCGCTCACAAACGCATTAAAATGTATTAACAACTTAGGGTCCAAAACCATGCAAATTCAACTACCTAACAAGTCGACCATGGGCTCAAAATATGGAGAAGCCGAGGGCCCGAGCCAATTAGGACGGCCAAACCCTAGCCCAAAAAAGATCGGACCTATCCCTGACCGGGTCAGGCCTGACTTTATGATGACAAAGCCGAACCAGCCCAAACCTGAAAATTCAGGCCGTACAAGGAAATCTCTTTGATAACATGTATGATAAAATTTCAGGGCCTATCGTGCCCAGAGTGGGACTTTAAAACGTGGCCTAAACCTTGCCCGATCCAAAATAGATCACAAGATATACTATTTTCAAAACTTAAAATCCGTTTTTTTCGTCAATGCATTTTGATGTCGAGATGATCAATTTGAGAATTATTGAACATCAAAACTTGAGATGCGCCTTAATTTGATTGTTTAGGCGTCGCCTTGTATAAGTTTCTTTTCATTATAGAAATAGAAAAAAAAAACGCAAGAACAAATAATACCATACACACACATGTATCACACATGCACATGCCAGTATCTGCCATCTCTCAATGTTGAATAGTAGAGATGAACTAATCAATCTCTACCACCCAACATGTCCCTAAAGCGCATGGCCTGCCTTTGTAATTGCAGAGTGAACATACACTTCATTAAAAGTTGAAACCAATGTATTCACCCAAAAAAATAAGAAATAAAAGAAATTTGAAACCAATGTTTATGAAATTGCATCTGGCAATCCAGCAATAGGTCCGGCCTATCACTTATCCAGATCTGGTTAAGAGAATCTCCCACTAAAATTAAAAAATTGAAAAAACAAATTAAAAGAAATAGTCGAGAAGTAAAAAATTGAAGAACAATGAACATGCAAAAAAAAATATCAAAAAAATTAATACAATTCATTACCGAACCAGCCAGTTCCTAACATGAACTATCCATTCCCATATATTAAGGGAACCGAACCAGTGCCTCTGGGCACCAGTGCAACCAAATTCCAAATTAAGCGATTCCAAACCGAGCATCTCTACAAACCAATCTAAATCAGGTGATTCCGATCCGATCGACATCTCTAAAAACCATAGTCAAAACAATTTATAAGTAATGAAACCGTTCATAAGGAGGGTTGAGGGTACACACGCGCATAGGTGCTGGTGTATGGAATTGATGGGCCCGAAGCCTTCGAGGACTGCAGTGGCCTTCTCCAGAAGGGCAGTGCCCGTCTGTGTGGCCTCTCCTGGGACTTCAGCCATTTCTCGTGCGATTTCAGCACTTGTTTTGACCCCAAACCCCTTCGTTCTCTTTCTTTATATAATGTGAAGAAGTTGATGAATGAACCATGCACTTTCACTAGGTGACACCTTTCACCTGAAGCAGGACCACGTATTCATTTTTCCTATGTATATGAAGACAGGTAGCACCGTGGTGAAGGACCAGATATTAAATATATAATCCCACCTGGCAAGCTGAAGGATTGGGTATGCCTCCTCCCTTTTGACTCTTAATTTGTGAGCGAGTACAATGTGTTCCCTCGGGACCAAAAAGGAGACAAGGGATGGGGGGTTAAAAAAGAAAAAAGAAAAAAAAGTTTATACAAGTTGTCCACCTAATATCGTAAAAAGGGTTTGTGTAGGAGGCTATTTATGTTTTCATACAAGGAGGTAACAAATACTTAAGTGGTTTAAAAAACGGATCGGTACTTCGGATCGAGCATTCCAAAAAACTTATCTAGATCGGTGAATCGACGATTTGGATCGAAAATCTGACGAATCGGTAAAAAAAATTATTAAAATTCATTATAAATATTATTTTTTTGGAATCCAATAAGAAATAGGGGCACTATAGTATTAGCTTTCATTTTTTTCATCAATATGCGATATTGAGATGTTCTTTCCCTGTATGAACTTTTGTTAACCAATAAATTTACATCAACAAAATAAAAATTCATAAAATTATCATGGATAAAATATATAATCATACATGAACTACAATAAAAAATGGATTAAATAAATAAAAAATAGCCACCAAAATCTCGAATTGACAAAAATCTTAATCCACTAAAAAAAACTCAAATTATTACAACCTAACTATAATCCAAAATTATTACAAACTGACTAACTATAATATTATATACTGAAATTGAAATTGTTGGTTTACATTTTATAGTTATTTTATTATATAAATAATAACAAATCCAAAATATCTTATACTATCATCTAATTTAAAATGTATTATTGACACCTGTAAGAAAAATAGTATATTACATAA